AGTAACGTATCGAGGCAGTTCGAGAGCCAGCCGATAGGCTGCTGGCTGGCTGCCTATGGAGAGCAGTAAAAGGTGACACACACACACACACACACACACACAAAGGGAGCTTTAGCGCACGCCATTCTTTCGCTGCAACGGTGTTGTTATTTCACACACAGAGATAAAAGAAATAGTAGTGAAGTAGAATAGAAGTAGAAGTACAGAAGAAAAATTTATAAGTGGAAGAAGATGATGATGATGATGATGGTATTCCTTGATTTCCAACCTATTACGGCCGCTCGGCAACAAGAGAGAAATATATACGAGGGGAAATCGCGAGAAGGAGAAACGAGATATGAATGAAGTAGGAGAGATGGTGAAAGCCAATAAGAGAGAGAGAGAGAGAGAGAGAGAGAGAGAGAGAGAGGGAGAGAGAAAGAAAAATAAAAGAAAAAGAAAAACGAGAAAGAGAGAAAAATGTAACGCATGTGTGCGTATAATAGGATAAGAAAAGGATACGAAGAGAAAGAAAAAGAGAGAAGAAAAGAGAGACAGTTCCGTACCTCCGCGATAAGCGAATTTCCCTCTCCGGAGGTCGAAGTTCGAGACTGGCCCGACGATCGTGATGGACGAACTTGTCTTCTCCCCTCCCTAACTCGACTGCCATCTCCCCACCTATCGCCATCATTCCCCTTTCCCTTCTCCTTTCTCTCACTCTTTCTCTCACCCTCCACTGCCATCACTCCCCACCCCACTAAGCCACGTACCGAAGCAGCCCCACCAAAGGTCGACGACGAACAGCCAGCCAGCCAGCCAGCCAGCCAGCCAGCCACTCGCGAAATTTTTTCAGGACCCCGCAAGTCGCGGTAACTCTCCACCGAGAGAAACACGAATTTCAAAAAAGTCAAACAGTTTTTTTTTTCTTCTTTTTTTTTAACCAAGAGAGATTTTTTCTTCCACTTTTTTTTCTCTCTTTTTTTTTCTCTATCTCGTTAATTCTGTTTTTTTTCTTCTATCTACCTTTCAATGTCTCTCTATCTCTATCTTTTTTCTTTTTCTTTTTTAGTTTTTTTTTTATTTTTATTCTACAAAATTTGAAATAGAATTTTACTATTAGAATTCGCGATCGATCGTCCACGAGAGACACACGACCACATACAGAAAGAGATACATACACGTACATACATACGTACATACATACGTATGTATGAAAGAGAGAGAGAGAGAGAGAGAGAGAGAAGAGGGAATTCGTTTCGCAGCGACAACTACTACTACTATTACTATTTGCTGGCCGGTTGTCACGTTTCTTTGGGCGCTAATACACGCTCACTATAATAATGTATAGTAAGTGCAGAAGGAGAAATATAATAATAATAGGAAGGAAATATATCGCGCAGTGGTATAAATCGCGAATATATCGCACGCCGCCGCTTCTATCCAGTCTACTCTGTTCTGTTTTACTCTACTGTACTTTTTCTCCTCTCCTCTCCTCTCCTCTCCACTCCTCTCCGCTCCTCTCCGCTCCTCTTCGTTCCTGACCGCTCCATTACTCATTCTTTCGCACACTCCAGTGACGACTCGATGCTTTTTCTTCTTTCATTTTCATCTTCATCTTCATCTTCACCGTCGTCACCGTCGTCACCGTCGTCACCGTCGTCACCGTCGTCACCGTTGCCGTCGCTCGCTGTCGATGAGCGCACGCGCGCACCCACACTTACATTTATCTCTCTCTCTCTCTATATATATATATATGTATATATGTATATGCACATGCACAAACTAACACACACACGCGTATATATTTGCGATTATCACACGAATTACAATACACATGAAGAGATGAGAGACAGACAGAAAAAGAGAAAGAGTGATAGAGAGAGAGAAAGAGAGAGAAAATATCGTATCGCGATGCCTCGAATATGCGTGCGCGCGATTCTCTTACTCTCTTTCTCTCTCTCTCTCTCTCTTGCTTACAATTTTATCGTTCTGTATCTTTCTTTTTCTTTCTTTTTATCGGCAGTCACGTTTAACTCTCACTAATTTGATCTTTCGTTTGCTGCCTAATTTATTTATCTATTTCTATCTTACGTACTTATATATGTCTGTTTGTCTGCTGTATATCTATCTATTTATCTATTTATCTAATTCTCTTTCCGTTTCTTTTTCTCTCTCTCCCTCTCTCCTACTGTCTGTCTGCCGCCTTCCCGGCTGCCTGCTCGCCATAGACTGGCGTGAAAGAGCGAAGGGGAGGACCACTAAGCTTTCTGTAGTTGTGTGTGTGTGTTGGTACGTTGAACGCGCGTGCGAACGAACCGATCGCGAGAGGACGAGATTCGCGAATAGGTTTCACCGTGCACTGCACCCGATTGGTCGACGATAAGTACCGAAAGCTTATCAAGAAAACTTGGCCGTTCACCCATTATTTCATGCGTTCTTGTAATTATTTTATATTATTCATTTTTTTATTTGAATTGTGATCCTTTAATTACGTTCCTTTTCTTTCTTTCTTTTTACCTTATTCGAAACTTCCCTTAATACCCTTCAACCCTATCATTTTTTTATATTTATTCTTATACTACTACTACTACTACTACTCGACTTATTTCATTCTTGTATTACTTTTTTCTTCTTTTTATTTTATTTGATTATTTTCTTCTCTAGTAAGATAAGATTCCTGTATCACAGGAAATATCATTGAAAAAAATATGTCGATAAAGTGCATCCCTTGTTAGTTTTTTTTTTGTGCTTTCTTTTTTTTCGTTACGCTGAAATTAACGGTGTGAAGAAATAAAAGCGCGAAAACGAGCTCTCATACATTTTCATATTATATATTAGAACACGTGGTTAGTAAGCATAACGAGCTGCCATCTATCAATTGTCTTGCGAACTAACATGTCGCGAGTTATCACGTGACTCTCTCTCTCTCTCTCCCCCCCCCTCACCACCATCTCTTGTACTCGATTTTTTTTATTATTCGAGTGTGTATAATATGTACTTTTGAATGACTATTATTTTTTAATTAGGAACCATTAAATATTGCTATATCTGATAAATGTAATAAACAGAAAAATATATTTCTATGTAGGAAAAAATAAAAAAATAAAATATATAATAAGACAAAATGTGATATCTGAAAACGATTATTTGGCATTTATCATTAAAACAAAAATATGAATTTGTTGAAATATAATTATTGCTCAATATATACACACCTATTAATTTCTTTATTTTTTTTCGTTGATTTCTATTTGTAAATGCCGTACATCAGAACCATGAGATAGATTTTCGATAAGAGTTTCAAAGAGACTTCACAACAAATTTATTTCTTTTTTTTTTTTTTTTTTTTTTTTTTTTTTCATTTTTATTATGCTCATTTAATTATTTACTTCACATTCTTGTTACGTCGTCAAACTTTTCTAGAAAAATTGTTGCTCGTTCCGTTAAATGTTTTCTCCTACGCGTTAAAAATATCATTTGTTGCTGTTTATTTATTTATTTATTTATTTATTTATTTATTTATTTATTTATTTATTTAAGAGATTTCGATAATATAAGATTCTCTTTTTCTCTCTCTCTTTCTTTCTTTCTTTCTTTCTTTCTTTTCTTTTTTTTGGGAGAAAACTACGAAAAATTTGAGCGCGACTAGATATTTATTTTGACTAATCTCGCAAATATTAACATCGATTATTATTATTGTAAATAACACTTGTTAAAAAATTTTTACTTTGACATCTTTCTTTTCCGGCTTTCCTTTCATTTTAGTTTTGATAAATAATTCATTTACGCTAGGGTTCTGTCTAATTTTTCTTTCTCCCTTTTCTTACCCTTCTTATTGGTATGTAATATAGTAATAATAATAATAATAATAATAATAATAATAATAATAATAATAATAGTAATAATAATAGTAATAATAATAATAATAATAATAATAATAAAATAATAATAATAATATATACATAATATAATTTATTTATATAAATAAATTATATTATGTATATATAAACACATATATTAGTTTATATATTATTTTCATCGTATTTTCCCTTCATAAATATTTCAATAAATAAATAATTTATCTTGCGATGCGATGACAATTAAACACAAAATATATGTTACAAAATGTAAATATATATATATATATATATAATCATAGATTATTAATATCAGATGTACATTGGGGGGTTAAAAAGAAAAGGTCAAGAAATAAACTTGAGTTTCTCTTATCGATTTAAATAAAAAAAAGAAGAAGAAAAAATGAAAAAAAATAATAAAAATAAAAATGTAACTAAACACACTCGATCATAAACATATCTTGCGTACTCCTAAAACTTTGGCGACGGCCATGACTATGGTTTTACGGTTCACCATCATCATCAACATTAATCTGTATCTGTATATATATATATATATATCATCATTACATTGTTCATTATTCTCTTCCTTTCTCGTACGAAATATATTTCATAAAACATTAATTTTTGTTAAATTCATTGATTCTGATTTTTCCGATTGATTCTATTAACAATATGACATAATAATAATAATAATAATAATAATAATAATAATAATAATAATGATAATAATAATAATAATAAAGATTACATTCTTGCTCGCAAAACTTGCTACGTGCGCGTAATAAATAGCTTTGAATTATGATTTCTATTAAAATAACATAGTCAATCACCTCATACAGCATTATTTTGGGGATCTCGTCAACGATATTTTACTTATCTTTTTTTNACTTTGTCATCGCGTATGCTGACGATTACGTTGACTATGCATTATGTAAAATATAAATTACAATAAACCTTATTTATGTATTCAAAAAAAAAAAAAAAAAAAAAAAAAAAAAAAAACAATACTAAAATTAACGGAATCCTACACTGATTAACATACAATAATTAAAGAAAATACATAAAATAATAATAATAAAATAATTGATTTATCCAATGAAGTATTTTGTTGTTGAATCATATTAAATAAAAGTATACGAGTTACAATTGATACGTGTTTAAATTTGTGTTGAATCATATTGAAAATATTTTGCTTACCTTCCACTTTGATTATAAGATCTTCTGCAATCGTAGCTTGGTCGAATACTAGAAACCGACGGTGATGGGGGTGATGGAAAAATGCTTGAACGATCCCGAATTATAGTTGGAGTACTACCTCTTATGTAATTGACCCTGGGCTTTGAACTACTACTATTCCCGCTACTACTGGTTACTCCACTGGTGCTACTACCACCACTGCCACTGCCAACACCACCACCACCACCACCACCACCACCACCACTATTACCACCACTGCCACCACCACTACCACCACCTCCGACACCGGACGTTGTTGTACTCGAAGACGTTGAGCCACTCGAATATCGTCTGCTAGGTGAATGTGGTGCCATTGGACTGGTACTGTAAGACACAGCTACAGACCCTGACTGACCACCGCGATGATATGACATTGCGATTTCTTAGCTAGTCTCTTTCTTCTTTTCCTACAATAAAACATTTGTTTATTAGTTTATATGCTAAAGGTCAAATTATACAATAATAATCATAAGTTTAATGACTGTTATTATATAGGATAATAATTCATTATCTCTTGCCACCTAAATAGCTCTGAAAGTATGATAGTAGCTAAAAAGTTCATTAAAGATAAACTGTTTTCTTTGCTAAAATTAAGTCTTTCCCTCCTTTCCCTCCTTTCCCTCCTCTAACACTGTAGTGTTTTTCATAGATAACACTGTATAAATTCTTAAACGAATTTTAACTTAACATAATTAAAATATGGGATTAAAAGAATAAACGGAGATAGGAAGAAGACATAGATGAGCTTCGAAGACGATAATACTATTACACAAGATGATGGATTATAATTGTGATTATGTAATCATCAATTCCCTAATAGTTACACTCTATACTTTATTTATTATTCTTATCAGAACTTTACGAAATAATAATAACAATAGATAAATATATCTCTCTCAATAAATAAATTTGAACATAATTATGAAAGTGGTCTAACCATAAATTATATGGTTAGTCATATGTTTTGAAATATTTAATGGATTACATTCGTAAATACTAAATATTAATTCTATGTAATATTGAAATAACCAAAACTATGTGTAACGATTCATTTTTTGAAAAATGTCGTGAGAATTACATTGAATTAATTTAGTTTCAAATAATGTGGTATGAAATAACTGATAAACTCTTTTTTTTTTATTTATAAATTTGGACTTTCATAATTATGGATAAAAATACAATCTAATTGCAATGAAAATATAAAGAACAACAAGATATATATTTTTTACTGACCTAACACGTTTTTAATGACCTAACGTTTAGCCGCATTCGTAATACATGGATTTACGGTATCGATCCAAGTTACTACGAGTCTCTACGTGAATATATATAAACACATTATTACCATATTCAAGTCAAACACACACAAACATACATTCTCATACACTATATTATATTATATTATATTATATTATATTATATTATATTATATTATATTATATTATATTATATTATATTATATTATATTATATTATTTATATAATATAATATAATACAATATATATGTGTACTTGCAAAACAAAGTCCAAAAAGAAGAACCGAATAAATTCTTTTTCTATGTTACTTAAACTATCTGTTAAACTATTTACTAAATGTTATTAACAAAAATTAAAAACGTATGTTTTTACCGTTTAAACTCAACACCAACCGATATACAGAACAATCTTAAATTCGTTCAATCAGTATGTCATGCACGTGGCAATGCGACGACATCATATCGGTACATATGCACGTAAAATAATAATTCTTTCAACAAGTACTCTTGCTGTTCGTTTAAATATGAAAATTCAACAGTCAAAGAACAATTAACCTATAAAACGAATCCATTGTGGAAAATATGTTGAATTTTTTCATTAAATAATATTTTAATGCAACAAAAGTTTCATTACTTTTTTGTCTTAAACTTATAACGAAGTTAAAAGAAACAKCTAACCTATAAAACAAATACACGTAATTGAATATATTTGTCTATCTACTTTAATTATATATTAATATATTACTATATAAATTTAAAACCAATATTTTATTGTGTGTGTGTAAAAAGATAAATAGTTAATATTTTTTAAAAATCTAACCTATAAAATGAAGAATTTATGTAAAGTATACAATAAAGATTATTAATATGACAGAACAAAAGTAATCTTAACATTTAATAACGTTTCAATATCATTTCTATCATATACAATCGTACCACACACACATAAGCATAGACCAAATGTAATCGATCCTCTCCTCAACCTCTTACGATATGTACCTAACCATCTTTAGCTCACTTCTACAATCTATTACTGTTCGAAATAAGAAATACGAATCTACATAATAGAATAATAAAACTGTGAAATATATCATGGAACAAGAAAATATCTTTTCTTTATCTTCCAAAACTTTTTCAAACAATATTTTGGATTTTTAAACAAAAAATACGTACATTCAAAAATCTCAACAACAAAAATTTAAAATGGCGAACGACGGTTGAGTAAAAGGAGACACACAACACGCACTTACATATGCACCAAACACATTACGCGTAAGTAGAGGCACGTACACATCCGCGCACGCGAAATAATGTATATATTCTAACCTAATAATTTGAAACGCACATCCCTTCTTTTCGTCCTATATCCGTCTAATGTCCTTCGTGACTAACGTATATATGTGTTTATAAAAGTCAACAGTCTGATGTCACGAGACAATTTATCACAATTTTAAAAAGGAACAAAAAATAAAAGCACTATTTTCTCCCCCTCTCTTTTTTTTCTTGATCGTAATCGGTGTCGCTTTAAGTTGAGAAGACACGATGACCGATAGAGATACAGCATATATATATATACTCTCTCTCTCTCTACACACACACACACACACACATTACTATTCAAGATTAAATATTCAACTAGAACGATATACTTTTCACGAAAAATACATAAAAAAAAAAAAAAAAAAGAATTAAATATGTACTCACGAATTCGAGTGGTAAACGTTGTTAATAAGTCCAATTTAACGGAAAGAAAAAATTTTTCGGCACGTTCGTAGTACACTTTAAATATAGTATCGATCAAGAACTAGACTGACTGACTGACTTCCTTCCTTCCTTCCTTCCTTCCTACCTTCCTATCATTCTGCTTTATTTTCTTTTATTTCTTTTTCCTATATAAATCGACTTCTAGGAAACCTTTTCTCCTTGATACCTTATGAGTTATTTTTCTCTCTTTCTCACTCTATCTCTGTCTTTCTTTCTTTCTTTTCTCTCTTGAAAAAAAGAAAACCGAAAGCACACGAGATGCGACGACGCATCACGACGTCGCCTGTGCCCTGCCACGAACGAGACAGAAAGAGACAGACAGACAGACAAAGAGAAAGAGAGAGATAGAGAAAGAAAAAGAGAGAGAGAGAGATGGAGGGGGAATAAAAGTGAGAAAGAGAAAGAGTGGTGGAAGTGAAAAGAGGAAGGGAACGAGTGACGTCATCATCGTCAAGATAAATTGCGAGCAGATTCTTACTCCGGATAATAAATTCTCGATCATCCTTATATTTTTAATGCATTCAATAAATTTCGAAAGAAGAAAAAGGAAATATTCTCTTTTCTTGTTTCATTAATTATCCATCAAAATATAGTAATCGATTTATTTTCGATATCTACGTCCCCTTTTAAATCACGCGTTTATTAAGCTACTTGCTTATTTACTCATATATTATGCATATACACCTTGAATTAATTATTACAAGACAAAAATATTATCTTTGTTTACCATATCGAGTACTACTCTTTTAAACTAGTTAATTTATTATTAAAAATATTTGTCTCTATGTGTTGTGTGTGTGTGTGTGTGTGTGAGAGAGAGAGTGTGCGTCTGAACACGTTCGAAAAATTACCTTTTTTCTTTCAAATATGGTATGTAACTTTTTCGTGATCGGACGGAAGTTTTATAACATTACCGGAAGGAACGTCCACGACGAGCATTCCGGATTTTCGGATGCGAGCGACGCCTCCTCGGCTTTTAAGGTTCGTCAATTTCCACGTTGACAGCCATATTCTTTTTCTACGATCATTAAATATCTAAGTAACATAGATTCTACTACGTCTTTGTATTAAGTTCTTTTAGCTAGTACGCCATCTTGCGTATTTTTCTTCTACTAAACAATGCTAGGTAGCTATTTCAAATTAATTTTTATATATTAAATGTTAATTAATATTTTGTTAAATAAATAGTTAGTATATATGGATATCTTTTTTTATATAAATATTAATTTATTTATATTTGAAATAATTGCGAGATAACCGATTAATATCTTACTATGAAAACATATTGATAATAATTTTTTTTGTAAAATATTGTGACTTAACAAGGAATAGTTATTTAAATTTTTAAAAGACTTTTTAATCATATGATTATGTAACTAATTAATACTTAAATAAGTACTTAATTATAGTTTCTTTTCTTTTTTAGTGGATATTTTAATTTACTACTATGTCACTTACATTTTGTTAAACATTACAATTTTTTTATTTTTTAGAAATAATTTGTTGCATTCTATGTAGTAACATTATTTACGTATATGCCCGCATACGCTAAAACACACACACACACACATACAACACATACGCACAACATAACAAATCTCACAACTAACTTTCTAAACGTATTGTAATAATGATGCTTCTCTTTGCCTAACACTCTATAATTTTAAAAATAACCTCAAATAAATAATAAAATTTTGCATTATTCGTATTTTATTTGTGACTTATCATAATTCTTATTTAAATTTTGAGACAAGAAAATAGCTCTAGAATTTGATTTAGGTGGAATCAAAGCTGCTGCAACATATCTGTTTTCTAAATTTACAAAATTGAATATGCTACATGCCTGAGAAACAGGCAAAATTTCAGTATTTATATTTAAATATTTTATCGTTTCTTTCAGATTGATTAGAAAATTGCGGTCATAATCGTCGTCTAATCCAATTATTAATAAATCCAACTTAGGTTCTAAAATGCTAAACAATATAAGGGAATCTTTGTTTATATCTTTTGCAGATGCAACATTCCAAAATAATAATGATTTGGAAAATATAATTATAGGTCCGATCATTTTGATACCATTGTTTAGAGTAAATCCTGTCTATTTGAAGAGAAAAAGAAAATAAGATTCTACGTTATACATACATACATATATATATATATATATATATATATATAAAATACGTAAAATGTAATAATTGAAAATTTATAAACGTACTTTGTTATAATCATCTATCAACAGCAAAGATTGCTCATTTTTATTGAGTATTGTTACTGTTGTTTTTCCTGGCCCTTCATAAGAATGTCCCTTTACATTTTGCGAAAGATGTAAATTTCTATGAAAAACAAAACAATAAGAATATATTATTATAGTTATAATAACATAATAGTATATATTTCATGTTTGAGATATTTATCTCGTGTAAAATAAAATATTATATATATATATATTAAATTTGCTATTTTAATTTCTATTACTTTTTTTAATAATTCTATTACCAACCTTATATTATGAAACACTTTTGAATTAAAAAGTTTTTTAAATGCAAACCTCATTTCATGCAATAGAAAAGAAAATAATTTCTTGAATAATAAATATTAGAATAATCTTTGGAGGTTAAGTAGAGAATCAAGATTTCTCTCTCTTGACCGCTTAAAATATACATACAATTCTGTATACTAGTAGAATCAATGTTACCACACTTAAAACAACATAAACACGTTTATTCTAGGAACTTTATAGTAAATGATTATTTGACATTATTCATATTATTTAAAAGAAGTAATTTTTAAATACTATAAATAAATAAAAAATAATTTTTTCTATTATTTATAGTTTTTTGTTGTAAAACAAATAACGCATTGAATAAAATATTGCTGCCATCTATACTTAAAAATATACACTTCTCACATTTAAAATACTTTGAAGAAAAACTAATTAATTAAAAGGCATAATATTTAATTTAATATTAAATAAAATAAAAATATAAACTATGAATAACTAAATTATAAAATAAAATGGTTCTGCGTTATAATAATTTTGTTAAAATTTTGTAAGTAAAATCAACCAATGAGAGAGTTAAGCATCGAAGAAACGATATTTCCGGTTTTATGTAATGCATTTAGCTCGTTCCATTCTCAATTCTCATCCATTTCGTTCGAAGCTGGCGACTAAGCAAGATGATCTTCATTGGTAAGAATATTTTCGATACTTATTACACGTTTTTAAAATCTATCTTCATCCACGTATATTATTTAATGCTTTAGTTATAAAATAGTATATTATTATAAAATAGCTTTTTTACATTCAATTTAATAATATATTTTTGATCCATCTAAACATCTTTAAGTATATATTTCTGCACGAAACCTTTCATGATGATGAAGACATTTTTAGTCTCGTTCGTATGATTACTTCTTGATTATGATCTTCATATGTTGCTGATTTTTTAATCGAATATTAATATTATTGCATAAGAATGACAAAATTTCTTATTTTGCGAATTAGTTTCTTTTTTTATATCGTTCTAGCAATCGCTTATATATGCTGAACGTTTACTTCGCACCTTTATAATAATGGCGATAAAATAATGCTTCAGCTTGAGTGGCTAGCACGCCAATACTGGGAAAATGTTTACTGCAAAATTTGTTCTTAACCACACGTTAAAATAGTAGTGAGTATTAGTTTCCTTTTTATTATTGTTTTTTTCTTTGTTTTTTCTTTTTTTACAAATTATTTATCTTCTAACTTCATTTTTTTCATTTAACTACATTGTTCCAATTGCGTTTAATTATATTTTTTAATAATATACACATATATTTATTTGCCTAGAAAATTCATTCATTAATTATATATATATATATATATATNGATTTCTATTAAAATAACATAGTCAATCACCTCATACAGCATTATTTTGGGGATCTCGTCAACGATATTTTACTTATCTTTTTTTTTTTTTTTTTGTTCTTTTTTGTGCGCCTTACATTCTCATAGCCAAAAGTTATAGAATTAAAAAAAAAAAAAAAGAAAAAGACATAACTCGAATAAATTATTTAAAGGCGTTTTCTTCAATGAGGATAATTTTAAGCAGAAGAATGAAGTAATATTTTCTTCAATTTCCAATTTTCTTGCCTAAGTGAATTCAAAATTGGGTTTTTTTTTAACGTTATAATTTTATCTTGAAAAATAAAATGTTTCTCATCATTTACTTTTGATGAGAAAATATAACACAACACGATATACGTTCCTAAAGTTAAAATAAATAAATGACCCCCGTCGTATATCATATCCACGAGTTGTCTATTTTATTATTATTTAATAAATGTTCGCTGCTTTTTTTCTTTCCTTTTTGTTGCTGTTGTTGTTGTTGTTGTTTTTCTTTCTTTCTCAATACCGCACACGATAGAAGAAGAGTATTGCTAGGCTAGATCGAGCCTGGTAATAATAGTAGTAGTACATAAATATATCAAGAGGCAAGATGATTTTTTTGCTTGCTGATCAAATATGGCGTGAGGTTACAAATGAGAACTATGAGGTTGTTGCTCGTAAAATAATACATAGGCTTCGCTGGAAACAACCAATTTAGCTGGTATCTCCGAAACATGGCTGTCGTTATACTCGTGCCACTCTCCTGAGTATGGATGCTTGCAATATGCTGTGTAATGACCGGAATACGTTGTACCGGAATGATTAGCTACACCGTACAAATTGTACGTGCAACCTTGTACTCTTGGAGCGGCGAAGGCACTGAGATCCAAATCCATCAATGGAAAATCAACCATCACATTTAGCTTGCCGCGAAAACGTTCCATCGGCGAGAATCGTTTCAAATCTATTTTGTTTTGTTTTTAATTAAAATGTTAAGGTTATATTCTTCTATTGTATATTTTTAAAAACTAAGTGTTTGATCAAATGGTGATAATTGGTCAAATCATATATATATATATATGCAAACAAAAGGATACGAATAACAAGAATTTTTGGAAACTTTTGTATGCCAAAACTCTTGGTACACTTTCTCCTCATTTGACATTTCGAACATGTTGGTTTTTCATCTCCATCGAGAACTTCTTCTCGCGTAAAATGTTCTAAACATTGACTTAGCCTGACAGTACTATTTCTAGCTGGAATCGGTAAACTTAAATCCCAAAATGGATCCAACGTTACTGATACATGATCGCAAAATGTACAACGTAAAGACGATCGTAATTGTCCAACAAACAAATCAACAATCATACTGTCTTCACTGCGAAGATAACGTTTCCAACTTTCTGCTGCTTTTTCGCTTTCCCTACAATTTCATAATTATTATTAATCAAAGAGAAATATAATAGAGAGAACAATGAAAATAACAAATATAAATAGGTATAATTGGAATGATGCGCATGTCTCTTACGTGTACATATCAGGTATATCCGTATGAATTGGTTGTGGTTTAACGGTGACCCTATTAACATCTTCGTGCAATCCTTCCAACAAATATCTAAGGAACTCTTGAGCATCTTGTTGACTATATCCCATAAATCTTGGGGTAAATCTTTGTATTTGAGACTTTAATGCTGATGTATTGACCGCGTGATCGCAATCAACTTGCCACAATTCGTGTATTACTTGGCTGAATGCCTTTATCAAAGCACCTTTCATACTAGACGTCGTTGTGTTTATATCTGCTATATAATGCTCGTTCATAACGTATTCTAAGAGCGGTCTGGTATTGCTCAGACATTGGATCACGCTGTTCATAAAACACTGCAACGAAAATGTAGATTATTATTATTATTATTATTATTATTAATTGTTTGAAAATTATCAGAAATAAATATAACAATAAATAAATAAACTAAGAAGAACAACAACAGTCAATTATTCTTCCTATATCTTGTAATATATGAAGAATGAAATTTTGTTTAAATGAATTGTATGCTAGGTTTCAATAGCTTAATACCCCACAGATATAATATACTCACTGTGTTTCCAATATTTCGCAAACCGTTTAAGCCACATTTTTCGTCTCGATGAGCTTGGAATAGATTACGCACCGGTCTATTGCTTGGACTACCCTCCTAAAAAACAACAATCATCGAAAAATAATTTTCTAGCATAATATTATATATATATATATATATATATATATATATATATATGTGTGTGTGTATATATATGTATCGCAAAATAAATTATATTACACAACGCAATGAAGAATGATTAGTCAGAAGTTTATCATTTATTCACACACAAAATCTAATTCAACTTTGAATCAAAATGTATGTCCTTTAATTTTCATGATTACACAATTAGTATGTTAACAAAATACAATGTGTGATTTATCTCGGTAAATATGACTTTTTCTATTATAATATTATAATTTGTAATATTATAATTTGGAATGAATTTGGGTATTTCCCATGACAAGAACATACATTATTAATACAAAGATGTTTTTAACGTAAATTTGGAGGGTGTGGTGACCAAGGGGAGAAAAAAAGAAAAGAAAAGAAAAGAAAAGAAAAGAAAACAAATATAAAACTAGATATCCTCTTACCTCAAAATTAACTTCTAGTGGAAATATAATAGCATTGGAGGATATCGTATTACCAACAAAGTTGGTAGTACGAACATAAGTAGATATACGTTTTTGAGATGCCAAAGGCTCAACGATGCCTAATAAAAATGCATAAAGTGAAAGAAGAGCTAGCAACGTCCAGGTACACCACAAAACCCAGCCGATTATTTGCGTGTAAGCCAGCTTTTTAAGCGAATTTCAATGACACTTAGCAAAAAGTATTCGTTAAAAATATCTTTTTATATGTAATACTAAAATACATTATTTATATGTGTAATATGTACTTTATAATGAAACTTTGATCAAAATTCAAGATTTTTAATACGAATTCATTTTAAATCAAATTGAGAAACGATTGAAGTTTTTGTATCTATTATTTTCCTATAGGTTAAATCAAAAAAAAGTTCTTTCTCAACAAAATGTTGACCTTCATTTTGACGATGACAAATTTCACCTTGTTAAACTTTAAATCCAAGCTTTTTCAAATTCATTTCACAGAACTTTCGTGCAACAAATTTATATTTTCTTTTTTCTCTATTTTTTTCTCTATTTCTTTATCACTATGAGAAATTTATGAATAAGGGAGAAATATTCAAACAATTAATAAACACGAATAACACTTTACAGAATGATACGACGACGTACTATGGATGGCACGTTTCTACTTGGCATATTCTTTTTCCTAAAGAAAGAAAGAGAGAGAGAGAAATTGCAAAGGAGCTCTGTTCTATAAATAACATTTGAAGGCGCTCACGGTTAACGTATGAGAAGTTTTTAGTTGGTTACTTGGACCCACAGTTGTAAATGAACAAGTTTCGTAACACTTTTAAAACTAGATAATCATCAAATATTATGATTGGGTAAATATATTTACCCCAATCGTTTGTATTTCTTGTTTTTCTTAAAATCAACGTTTTCTTTCTTCACACATTTTTTGTTTCACAAAAGGTATAAATAATCGGCTATTTAGGTTAACCTGGGAAAGTTGTTGTTAGCTAAAGTACCACCAAGGTAGCTACCTTGATAAAATAAGCAACGTAACAACACATATTAGTATCATCACGATGGTGATGCGTGGTGAAGATGTTTGTGCTTGCACAACATAAAAACTATGTTACATAATAATATAGGACTATTGCAAATGAAGGTTTTATCGAAATGCACATTCAATAACAAATATCTATGCTAATAAACATCGTGTGAGCCTTTGTTGAATATCGTTAAGTAACAACGTTATTGCATATTTGCAATTGCATTTGTGTAAAAATCACTGAAATCTAGATTTAAAATTATTAATAAAAGTATTAAAAGGAGGAAAAGCAAAACAACAACACATAAGAAATTAATGAAAAGAACGATACCAACCGATAATAATGATAATGATAATGATAATAATAATAATAATAATAATAACAACGATGATGATAAAACTATACTTGGAATGGATGTTTCAGGTTATGAGGGTGAAAAGGGGTTCAACTTTTCCTCCCTAATAAATTAGATCCATAGAGAAGAATGTGAATAGCGCTTTTGTTATTATCAATACGACACTCACGAACTGCTCGTTACCAGTGCGACATAGATTTTGTTGTCTCGTGTTAGGATTGGTGGTGGTGGTCGTTCTTGTTGGAGACGAAGAAGAAGTAGAAGGAGCTGTTGTTGTTGTTGTTGTTGTTGTTGTGGTACGATCGATTCCAGAAAAATGTCGTTCCTGTCGGTTGGACGTTGATGGTATGGACGGATCATCGGAATGGTCATCGGAGTTTCTTCCAGTGAGATCATTTTGAAGTACATTATATAAAGTTCTGACCTCAAATTCGTTATCCTCAATATTGAATGGATTAACTGATGAAATGCTTTTGGTACCGAGCTCCTCCAATATGTCATTATTTCCAATAGAAACGGCAGCAATAGCATTACGACGATAATTATTTACCGGTTGGATCGATGTTGATGATGCTATCTCCTCGTCATTATTGATACCATGTATTATTACCTCGTTATCGTCGATCTCAAAATCGTCCAATTCGATCATCGAGGAATTGTGTTGACCATTCTGTTCGTCGTTATCGTTACTCAAATGCTCGGTAGTAATATTATTTATTGGATTATTAGTAGTAGCGAGATTAGTTAGCAGGTCAATATTATTAACACCAATCAAACCAGCAGCGCCACTAGCAGCAGCACCATCACCAACAACACCACCAACAACAACAACACCACCAACACCACCACCATCACCATCACCACCAACACCACCATCAACAATACCATTACTATTCTCGGTAACAATCAGTGGTTTAACCGCAGCAGTTATGGTAGTAGCTAGATTCCGTTCGATTTTTGGTGAAACGGAAGAAGAGATACGTTGTATGTTATTACTGCTGGTGCCATTAAAAGTTAAGTGATGCTGTTGAGAAGTTTGGTGGTGCTGAAGATGATGGTGATTAAAATGATGATGATGATGATGATGATGATTATGATGATGATGATGATGATGATGGCGGTTAATAAGATTGTTATCCGCGTCATCATCGCACCGCTTCTTAGTCGTTTCATCATTATAATCGCGCTTTCTATAAAAGAACGAGCAATGGTCATCATTTTTTGTGGTAGCACCAACCAAATTGATGCTGCTATTATTCTTGTTGTTACTACTGCTGCTGCTACTGCTGCTGCTGCTGCTGCTGCTGCTGCTGCTGTTGCAGCTGCCATTGTTACCACCAATGCCGTTGCTCTCAACGACGTTATTGTTGTTGCTGTTGTTGTTGTTGTTATTGTTGTTGTTATTATCGTTCCGTCGTTTATAGTCGTCCTCGTCCTCGTTCTCGTCGTCAACGTCAATGTCATCGTTATCGTCATCGTCTCCGTCGTCGCCAACAGTAGTTATGTTAATGGCCGCGTTAACGTTCTCGCTTTCATAGTCCTCGTTATCATCGTCGTTTACTACGTCATCGTTATCGCGTTGATCATTATTAATTATTTCATTTTCGTCCTCGTCCTCGTCCTCGTCGTCGTCGTCGTCGTCGTTAATGTCGTCATTGTCAACGTTGATGTCCCTGTTGTTTTCTTCGTCATCATCATTGTCGACGTCGTTATCGTCAACGTCGTCATCCTCCTCCTCCTCCTCCTCCTCCTCCTCGTCAGACCGATGACTAGCAATCGTTACCTCGACGGACGACGATGTTGCACTGTGGGCACGTGCATGTCCCGTACCGGTGGTGAGCACCGTGCTGCTGCCGATAGGTGGCTTCCCCTTAGATTTCGGCCAAAACCCAACACCTGTGATGGCGGATGAAGACGAGGACGAGGAAGAAGACGAAGAAAGCGAAGATTCAGGACGAATACTTCCACTACTACGTTTTTTTCCTTCGCGTTCTTCACCTCCAATCAATTCGCTAAAATTCGTGCCTACGTTTGTTGTTTTTCCTGACTTCGAATTTTGTTGTTGCTGCTGTTGTTGTTGTTGTTGTTGTTGTTTCCAACGATGAAAGCCACTCTGTGAAGAATGACGATCGACGCTAGACGTGTATAATGGCGAATAACACCTTCCAATAATATCCGTGTTTACGTCTCGTAGTAACGACGTTGACGATGACTCCAATGTACGATCCCTCAATGATGCGGTTGACGATGAAAGGTACGAGGATGACGACGTTGAAGATGTGTATCTTCCGCTTGAACCGGTGCTACTGATGCCGTTTGCCAAACTACCGTATACACCACCTCCGCTAATCCCAGTATCGGTGCCGTATGAAGATGAAACAGACCTGTAATATTTAATTAGATGTTAATATTACAGAACATAACCTCCTCTTCCTCCTATACTCCTACGCGTTCTTTATTATTTGTTCGTGGCCCCTGGCCAACGATTACTTATACATATATACATATATGTACCTATGTTTATGTATATAACTAGGATGCTTCGGCCACGCGTTGCTGTGGCTTTCTTATAAAATATTGACTTAATATAATTCTAAGCTATTTAGTAAATTATAACAGCACACAAAATAATACCACAATTACAATGGAATACATAAAATAATAATACTCGAAAAAAATGTAACAAGTAAAGTTAATTATGTCATATGTAAATTCGAAAAAAAAAAAATCGTCAAATAATTGAAATAACTTTTAAATAATAAATCCTTAAATTAGCAATAAAAAATAACAAATAATTGCGATAATAACTATCCTATGATAGGCTTAGTAGTTTCTAATTCCAAAGTTCATTGGAAACCAACAATGTGACACTAAATTTGAATATATCATAAAGATACATGTAAGTGAATTAGCATAGGTATAGCATAATACAAAGTCTAATTCTTTTTCTTTCCCTCTATTTGTTTGAAATAATATTGGTATTGTTAGAAAAAAAGAAAAAAATAATGTAATCACACAAAAGCTCACAAGTGCGGTACCAAAATTTCATGCATCTAGCGTTTTTTATTTATTTATTACATACTAGTTGTTTTACAAACTGGTAAGGATTAATCGACTAAGGTTGATTAGATCAACATTTCAAAGTCTATTTGACGAATTGGTGATGGTGAATTAATTGTCAACCAAAACAAAAAAAAAAACAAAGAAAACAAAATAAAACAATCAAATCTAATTTAGAAATGAAAAAGTTTTTGTCGTGAGGTATTCTTTAAAAAAAAAAAACGTTGCTTGCTTGACAAGCCTTCCACGTGCAAGGCTCTTCTCACCTTGAAGGTGAGTACTGAGGACGACTGTACTCGGACAAGTAACTCCTGCGGAGGCTGCTGGTAGTAGCCGATGAGTAGTAACTGCGAGCCGATCGAGGTAAAAAAAAAAATGAAACGATTTTAACCTAAGCCTTTCTCACTAATGCTTTTTTATAGTTTTTTTTTTATTTTTACTTGTATTTTTATATTCTACATTTATATTTTGAACAAGCCAGACAGCCTTCACCGAAATAACCCTAAACACCTTGCATTCTTTCCTAATGATGATTTTTCAAGAGAACAAAAATACGCGGGAAAATGTTTTCAAAGTAAAGCTTGTACAACAGAGAACCTACAATTCCCCAAGAACTTATGATAGATGCATTTATTTTCTACCATATTGTTTATAACAAATTACATTCTTCTGAAAAATCTATCGCGTTTTTCTTGTAATGTTACCATAAGTCACTAATTAAATACAAGTTTATATAACTTTGTCATCGCGTATGCTGACGATTACGTTGACTATGCATTATGTAAAATATAAATTACAATAAACCTTATTTATGTATTCAAAAAAAAAAAACAAAAAAAAAAAAAAAAAAAAAAATACTAAAATTAACGGAATCCTACACTGATTAACATACAATAATTAAAGAAAATACATAAAATAATAATAATAAAATAATTGATTTATCCAATGAAGTATTTTGTTGTTGAATCATATTAAATAAAAGTATACGAGTTACAATTGATACGTGTTTAAATTTGTGTTGAATCATATTGAAAATATTTTGCTTACCTTCCACTTTGATTATAAGATCTTCTGCAATCGTAGCTTGGTCGAATACTAGAAACCGACGGTGATGGGGGTGATGGAAAAATGCTTGAACGATCCCGAATTATAGTTGGAGTACTACCTCTTATGTAATTGACCCTGGGCTTTGAACTACTACTATTCCCGCTACTACTGGTTACTCCACTGGTGCTACTACCACCACTGCCACTGCCAACACCACCACCACCACCACCACCACCACCACCACTATTACCACCACTGCCACCACCACTACCACCACCTCCGACACCGGACGTTGTTGTACTCGAAGACGTTGAGCCACTCGAATATCGTCTGCTAGGTGAATGTGGTGCCATTGGACTGGTACTGTAAGACACAGCTACAGACCCTGACTGACCACCGCGATGATATGACATTGCGATTTCTTAGCTAGTCTCTTTCTTCTTTTCCTACAATAAAACATTTGTTTATTAGTTTATATGCTAAAGGTCAAATTATACAATAATAATCATAAGTTTAATGACTGTTATTATATAGGATAATAATTCATTATCTCTTGCCACCTAAATAGCTCTGAAAGTATGATAGTAGCTAAAAAGTTCATTAAAGATAAACTGTTTTCTTTGCTAAAATTAAGTCTTTCCCTCCTTTCCCTCCTTTCCCTCCTCTAACACTGTAGTGTTTTTCATAGATAACACTGTATAAATTCTTAAACGAATTTTAACTTAACATAATTAAAATATGGGATTAAAAGAATAAACGGAGATAGGAAGAAGACATAGATGAGCTTCGAAGACGATAATACTATTACACAAGATGATGGATTATAATTGTGATTATGTAATCATCAATTCCCTAATAGTTACACTCTATACTTTATTTATTATTCTTATCAGAACTTTACGAAATAATAATAACAATAGATAAATATATCTCTCTCAATAAATAAATTTGAACATAATTATGAAAGTGGTCTAACCATAAATTATATGGTTAGTCATATGTTTTGAAATATTTAATGGATTACATTCGTAAATACTAAATATTAATTCTATGTAATATTGAAATAACCAAAACTATGTGTAACGATTCATTTTTTGAAAAATGTCGTGAGAATTACATTGAATTAATTTAGTTTCAAATAATGTGGTATGAAATAACTGATAAACTCTTTTTTTTTTTATTTATAAATTTGGACTTTCATAATTATGGATAAAAATACAATCTAATTGCAATGAAAATATAAAGAACAACAAGATATATATTTTTTACTGACCTAACACGTTTTTAATGACCTAACGTTTAGCCGCATTCGTAATACATGGATTTACGGTATCGATCCAAGTTACTACGAGTCTCTACGTGAATATATATAAACACATTATTACCATATTCAAGTCAAACACACACAAACATACATTCTCATACACTATATTATATTATATTATATTATATTATATTATATTATATTATATTATATTATATTATATTATATTATATTATATTATATTATATTATTTATATAATATAATATAATACAATATATATGTGTACTTGCAAAACAAAGTCCAAAAAGAAGAACCGAATAAATTCTTTTTCTATGTTACTTAAACTATCTGTTAAACTATTTACTAAATGTTATTAACAAAAATTAAAAACGTATGTTTTTACCGTTTAAACTCAACACCAACCGATATACAGAACAATCTTAAATTCGTTCAATCAGTATGTCATGCACGTGGCAATGCGACGACATCATATCGGTACATATGCACGTAAAATAATAATTCTTTCAACAAGTACTCTTGCTGTTCGTTTAAATATGAAAATTCAACAGTCAAAGAACAATTAACCTATAAAACGAATCCATTGTGGAAAATATGTTGAATTTTTTCATTAAATAATATTTTAATGCAACAAAAGTTTCATTACTTTTTTGTCTTAAACTTATAACGAAGTTAAAAGAAACAGCTAACCTATAAAACAAATACACGTAATTGAATATATTTGTCTATCTACTTTAATTATATATTAATATATTACTATATAAATTTAAAACCAATATTTTATTGTGTGTGTGTAAAAAGATAAATAGTTAATATTTTTTAAAAATCTAACCTATAAAATGAAGAATTTATGTAAAGTATACAATAAAGATTATTAATATGACAGAACAAAAGTAATCTTAACATTTAATAACGTTTCAATATCATTTCTATCATATACAATCGTACCACACACACATAAGCATAGACCAAATGTAATCGATCCTCTCCTCAACCTCTTACGATATGTACCTAACCATCTTTAGCTCACTTCTACAATCTATTACTGTTCGAAATAAGAAATACGAATCTACATAATAGAATAATAAAACTGTGAAATATATCATGGAACAAGAAAATATCTTTTCTTTATCTTCCAAAACTTTTTCAAACAATATTTTGGATTTTTAAACAAAAAATACGTACATTCAAAAATCTCAACAACAAAAATTTAAAATGGCGAACGACGGTTGAGTAAAAGGAGACACACAACACGCACTTACATATGCACCAAACACATTACGCGTAAGTAGAGGCACGTACACATCCGCGCACGCGAAATAATGTATATATTCTAACCTAATAATTTGAAACGCACATCCCTTCTTTTCGTCCTATATCCGTCTAATGTCCTTCGTGACTAACGTATATATGTGTTTATAAAAGTCAACAGTCTGATGTCACGAGACAATTTATCACAATTTTAAAAAGGAACAAAAAATAAAAGCACTATTTTCTCCCCCTCTCTTTTTTTTCTTGATCGTAATCGGTGTCGCTTTAAGTTGAGAAGACACGATGACCGATAGAGATACAGCATATATATATATACTCTCTCTCTCTCTACACACACACACACACACACATTACTATTCAAGATTAAATATTCAACTAGAACGATATACTTTTCACGAAAAATACATAAAAAAAAAAAAAAAAA